CTTCGACTTCGCCTGCCGCCCCGCTTCGCCGCGCGCGAACTTCGCGGCCCCCCAGCGCGCGCAGGTCACGGCCTCAGCCTGCGCGGGGTCAAGGAAGGCCTTGAGGACGCGAGGCCGCTGATCTGCGAGGTCGCCGTCATCGAAGATGCAGGGCGCCCGGGGCCCCCCGACCTCCCTGCGGAAGAAATCCATCTCTGCGGAAACCCGAACAGCAGCCTTGGCACGACCTGGGCGGCGTTCATTAGCGACGTCTACATTGCGCCTCGCAGTCGCCACGGCGAGGACGCACATGAAGGGCGTCTCCCCCGAGCCAGCCCCCCCGATCGCAAGCAGCGCGTTGCCCGTCAGCGTCTTCGGGGTCCTGTTCGTCATCGGCTGGTACTCCTTGCGGACGTCTGGCTTTAAGGGCGGGTAGTAGTCCTCCTTGGTCGCGAGCCGAGGTCCGCGATGCACTTCAGCGGGCTGTTCACGAACTCCCGCTTCGCGTGGTAGATGGGGGAGTCAGGGCCCGCGCACTGGCGCTCCAACCACAGGGCCCTCTGGCCGTCAAAATGGCCACGGGGGGCCTCCGCCTGCGCGAAATTCCACGCCCTGTTGAGGGCGGCCTGCTTCTCCGCGACCTCGCTATCACGACCTCCGCGGCTACCCCGGGCTTCTGCATGCACCAGTAGCGGAACAGCCACCTGCCCATCGCCTCTAAGACCACCGGCAGGGCCCGCGCCGAGTTGAAGGTGTCGGGGCGGGAGTCCAAGACACAGGGGTCGCCCTCGACGATCTTCTCGAGGATGGTCGACATGCGCTCTCCGCCGCCGAGAAACGCGAACACCTTCACCACCAAGCAACCAGCGCCAGGCAATGACTTCGACACGCGCATGTTCATCACGCAAGGGACATCGTTTTGGCCATCATCAGAAAAGCCGAGAGGCGGGGGCAAGCTGTTGCACCGACCATCGGCCATGGCCTCCTTGACAGTCTCCCAGTTGACACCCGAGAGTTCGCCGCAGTTCGCAATGACGTCGATGAAGCCTTCGATAGAGCGCCTCGCTGAGAAGTTCCACTGCTTGGTGGGGGGCCCCAGACGACAGCGGTGCCCGCCTTGTCCACGTCCCCGTCCACGTCGGGCATTGCCAGGACGTCAAGAACGGGCGTGGCCTTCGCCTTGGTCCAGGCCGCAACCATGACGTCGTTGGTGCGCCCCTCCTTCCCCATCGGCACCCCGAGGAACTTCGTGCCGCAAGCGGGGGGGGTGGCGGCCTCCATCGAGCATGCTCTCGGCATAGTGGACGGCGCGGAAGCGCGCGAGGTCACGGGCGAGCGCGGCAACTGATCTTTGAGCCTAAACGGGCGCGGTATTACTGTTTGGGGGGGGGAAGCGAGAAGGGGATGGGCGGCGTTCGGGGCGATCGCAAGCAGGGGGAACAGGGCGGGCAACGCCTGCCCGCGAGAAAACCTCAAAGAGGGAACCTGGTCGGCAGGGGCGCTGGCCATGGCTGGCGAGGCGAGAAAGACGGAGCGGGCGGAGGCCTTGGCGGGCGGGCAAGGCCGCGCAAACGCTGAGCGCAGACGAACTGCGAGTGGCAAGCCGCCAGGTTGGAGGACAGTGGCATTTGTGGACAGGAAGAGGAGGGGCGACGGCGACGTGATCACGATTATGGAATGCGGGACTGGTGCTCGGTTCTTTTTCTAAGTGGGCCCGGTGAAGAGGCATTCAGGCGCATCTTTAGCATCGCTCTAATAAGTTGAAATCGCGCGGGGCAGCGCTGGCCGCCGGCTACCCCGCGTCGCCAAGCCGAGCCGCGCGGGCTCATTAGCCGAAGTCATTGTGCCACAAGTCGCTCAGCATGTCCCCCGTGCGCTGCCAGTCGTCGGCACCGCGGTTCCAGTATTCCCACTGGAACGAGCGGATCTTCTGGCGGAGCGAGTGCGTGTTGACGACCTTGACGCTGCCGATGTGCTTGCGAAGACCGTACCGGCAGCGGTCGATGACTTGCGTCCCAGCCATCACCCACAGCTTCTTCTTAGGCGCGCCGTCCTCGGCAATGCTACGGAAACCGGGCTTTGCGCACTTCGGCCTTGCCCACGTGTACTTCCCGTTGACCTTGACGCGCTTGCGGCAGTGGACGACGTAGTCGTGCCCTCTTCCTCTCCAAGCGGGGCGAAACGTCCTCCACCTTGCAGTCTCGACAATTGGGTTGGGACGGATTGAGATGCAGTGCGACTTGCACCCCGCGAGAGAAGCAGAGGATGAGGAGCAGGAGGAGGAGACATAAGATAAGGAGATAAGGAGATGAGGGTGAGGAGAGGAGGAAGATGAGAAGGACGACGAAGATGAGGAGGATGCACCCCCCCTCCCGAGTCCGTCGTTTGGGGGTGCTGGGGGGGGGGGGGGGCGAGAGCATATGTATATATATATATATATATATACATATATATATGTATGTATGTATGCATATGTGTATACATACGTACGTACATACATACATACATGCATACATACATACATACATACATACATATTTAATCACATACATATACATATGTATATATATACACATTTGCATATGCATATACATATACATATACGTCTACATATACAGTTACACTTACAAATGCATATACATATACCTATACAATTACACGTACATATACATATACGCAGACATACAGACATACATGCAATCATGCATACATGCATATCTGCATGCAGCCATACATGCACACCTACCTACTTACCTACAGACATACAAACACCTACACATAACATCTACAGACATGCATGCATGCATGCATGCATGCACGCATACATACGTGCAGACACATGCACACGTACATGCATGCATGCTTGCATGCATGCATGCATGCATGCATAGATACATACACATTTCCATTTCGACATACACATACAAATATACACATGTATACATATATGCATGCATCCATCTATATCTATATATGTATAAGCATATATATGTTTGTATGTGTATGCGCATCTACATACATATATATATATATCTATATGTAAGCACATACAGATCAACATACATCGAAACATCCATCCATCCATACATCCATACATCCACACATCCATCCATCCATACATACATGCATACATGCATACAGACATAGAGACACACATACAAACAAATGGGCACGGGCATATATGATGCATATATATAAGAGGAATAACAGAAAGAGAGAGAGGGATATAGTGAAAGAGCTAAGGAGAGCCACGGCAACAACAACAGCAGCAGCAGCAACACCAACAATCAATTTAAGGTTGCTGGCTGATATCTGCGCGCGTGAGGTTTAACACGTGTATCCCAAAACCCCGATCGCCGCCCTCTTCGTCTTCGATCGTACACCCTTGGGGTATATCTTGCTTACCTGCAACGTGTATTTCATGCAGCCCCTACGGCAGGGGGAAAGAGGACGGATATAATGGAAGGACAAGGGGGAGGGAGAAGGATGGAGCGCAAAAGGGAGAGAGAGAGAGAAACAAAACAATAACAAAAAGAGAGCGAGAGAGAGAGAGAGAGAGAACAAACAAAGAACAGACAGAGAGTAGCAGAGGGGCAAGGAGCAGAAAACGCGTGACAAAACTAGCAGCGCAGATCGGGCGGATAGACCCTAACGGGCGGGTCGGGAAGGCGGGCCCGAACGGCCAAGTCGAGCAGGCGGATTACTGAAGGGTGCGTCCTGCATGAATCGCAAGTCTCGAGCGAGAACGCGGTTCCCAAGTAAATCGTGAGATAGGCCAAAGCGAAAGCGTGAATTATCAGTGTCGAAGGCGCGGCGTCGGAATAAAGTGCGAGGAAGTCCCCAGCGAAAGCGCGATTTCTGCATGAGTTGTGAGTACGTCTTGCGCGAGTGCGTGGTTTGGGAATACATTGTGGTGAAGCATCAAGCGGGAGCCGTTGTTGTTGTAACTCGGGGCCAAGGGCCCAATTCTGAGACCCAAGATTTCCCCCGATAAAAAACACTGTGCGAGCCCCGGGGAGGGCACTTCAAAGTACGATATGCCCTGGACGGGGGGAACAACAATAAGAACTCAGCGACAACAACAACAACCGCATAAACATCAACACTAACAACAAAATATTGAGCCGTGTTCGCTCTTATCTGCTCGCGTGCTACTCAACACGTGTATCCCAACATTTCGAGACCCACCCTTTTCGTATTCGATCATATCCCGTAAAAGGCATTTCTTTCTTACCTGCAACGCGTATCTCGCGCAGCCCGTAAGACAGGGGGAAAGAAGACTGATATACGGAAGAGACAAGAGGGAGGGAGGAGGATGGAGCACGAGAGACAATAGCAGAGGGGGGCTAGGAGCAGAAAACACAAGGCAGAGCCAGACGGGCAAATCGGGCGGGTAGGCCCTAACGGGCGGTTCGGGGAGGCGGGCCCAGGCGGCCAGGTCGAGCAGGCGGGTTGCTGAAGCGTGCGTCCTGCATTAACCGCGAGGAAGTCTCGAGCGAGATCGCGTCCCCAAATAAATCGTGCAGAAATCCACGGCGAGACCGTGAATCATGAGTGTCGAAGGCGCGGCGTCGGAATACATTGCGAGGAAGTCCCATGCGAAAGCGCGATTCCTGCGTGCATTGTGACGAGGTCCCGCGCGAGAGCGCGACTTGGGAATGCATGGTGAGAGAGTGCAGTCGGGGCGTTGACCTAAGGAACGATAAACGAGGAACGAAGCATATTTTTCTTAACTAAAACCATAAAGTCCCAGGGGGCGGCCGAGCACCTTTCCAGCGGCGTTCCGCCATGATTTGTCTTCGCGACTACAGCCCCCCCCCCACCGCGCCAAAACGGCAAGGAAGGCCCCCCCCTCCTCGCCCGCCGCCCCCGCGAACAACGCGCTGGGAACGCCCGGTCTGCCCAGACAAGGCGCCGCCCCCCAGCGCGCGCGCTTGGCGACGCCCCCCAGCCCGACAATTAAGAACAAGGAGCGGCAAGGGCCTTCGCGCTGCAACGGGCCCCGCGCAAGCCGGCGACGCAAATCCGCCTCCCGACCTCCGAGTCACGAAGAACGCCGGGGGCTCGGGCGGGGAAATGGGCCGCAACTCGACCGCTTCCCCGTTCGGCTGCGCGCGTGGGCCCCAACTCGCCCCGGCGCAAAGAACCGAAGGGCTCGCGCGGGGGGCCGACCCTCGACGCGCCCGCTTCGAGCTCCAACTCGCCCCGCGCAAGGAACGGAGGGGCTCGCGCGGGGGGCTGGGCCGCGGCGCGGCAACTTTCCCACGTGGCCACACCGCGGGCGGCATCGATTGCGCAAGACACGCGACGAGACGCAAAACTCTTCCGACGGTCCCATGGCCTCCACAACCACAACACAGAATGGCACCTTGCCGAGGCCGCGGCCGCGGTCGCCCGCGGCCGACCGGCAGCCGCGCGAAGGGGGTCTCGCGCCGGACAGGGTGCCGCGGGCATCCACATGGCCGCGCCGCCCACCGCGCAAGAGACATGGCGCGGCTCGCCGGCCGCGCCCCCCTCGGGAGCGACCGCGCGACCCGCCGCCGCGGCAGACAACCTGAGAACAAGGGCGCGGCTGAGGACGTCGCAGTGGAGGGGGCGCGCAGACCGCCCCCCCGCGGCAGAGCGACCTGCAGCCACAGCAGAGCGCAGGGGCGCGGCCGAGGGAGTCGCAGACGAGCGGGCGCGCAGACCGCCCCCCCGCGGCAGAGCGATCTGTCGCCACGGCAGAGGGCCAGAGAACAGGCGCGGCCGCGGACGTCGCAGACGAGAGGGCGCGCAGACCGCCCGCCCGCGACTGAGCGACCTGGCGCACCGCGCACGCGGCGGCGGCCGCCGAGCAGCGCCCCGCGCGCGGGACTCGCAGGGCGCTTGCCCCGCGACCTCCGTCGCGAAGCCGCCGCGGGCGAGCGCGCAAATCTCGGCGGCAACACGACGCGCGGCGCGCCCTTCCGCGGGGGAGGGGGGGGGGCAGCGCCGGGCCGCGCCCCCCGCTCCGCCCCGCGCCGCCAGGGTCCGACCTTCACGCGGACTCGGCCGCGCCTCTCCCCCGACGCGCCCCCGGCATCGCCTGCCGCGGGCTCTCGCGCGCCAGGGGCGCCCCCGCGCAAGCGCTTCCTGGCCCGCAGGCTGGGGCCCGAGCCCAGGCCGCGCTCGCGCGGAAACGCCGACTCGCCCCGGGGCCTCAGCGAGAGCCCTCACACCACGCATCCGCCCTCGCTGTCGACCTGGCCCCGGCGCCCAGCCCGGCCCTGGACTTCGCCCTGGCCCTGGCCAAAACCATGCCCTGCCGTCGGCCCTGGTCATCCGCTCTTTGCCCTTGCCGCGGCGCTCTCAGTCGCAGCCTCGGCCCTGGCCGCGAGCTTCTAGCGAAATTTGCGCCCCAGAGTCGGCGGCGCGCGCAGATTGACCCTGGCGGGCCGCCCCGCTCCGCCACGTTTCGACCCGTCGTGGAGCAGGGGCAGGAAGCCAGGCCCCCGCGCCAAACCTCAGGCCAAAGTCTTGCCGCAGCCAGGGGCCCCTGCCCTGGTACTCGGCCCTGGCCCTTGTCCAGGGCGCGCGGCCCTACCCGCGGTTCGCCCACGGCACGCCCATGGCCTGTCAAGTGCCTGCCAGCGCATTGCCTAAGGCTTACCCATGGAACGCACCAGGCCAACCCAGGGGCTACCCAAGTATTCACCCAGGGCTGCCCAAGGCGAACTCATGGCAGACCGATGGCCTACTCGTACCGTATCAGACGTAGAGACTGCCAGCAGTCTCCCCGGGGGTACCCATGACCTGCGCGAGGCCTGCCCCTGGCCTGCCCAGTTCTTGCCCATGGCGTATTCGTGGCCTGCCGTGCCCTGGCGTGCCCATGGCCTACCAATGGCCTACCTCGTGGAATATCTAGAGCACATCACTGTGTCACCCAATGATTACCCAAAGCCGATCCATGGCCAATCTGCGAATTGCCAGTGGCCTGCTTGTGGCCGATCTGCTGCTCACCAAAGGCCGCCCCATCATGCCCTACATGCACGTGGCCTGCACATGCTCAACACACGGCCTGTCAATGCCCCACTTGACGCCTACCCATGGCCCACCCAAGCGCCAACCAAGGCGGAACCATGGACTCCCCCAGGCCTGCTGCCAGCCAAGGTGCCCTGATGGCCTGCCCGCGCCTTGCACGCCGCCTACCCTTGGCGCACCAGTGGCCTACGCACTGCTTGCGTGCCCATGGCCCGCCAATGGCCTACTCAAGGCCTGCCCTGGGGCTGCGTTGGGCTACTCCGCGGCTGCCCGTGGCTTGACTGCGGCCTACACAGGGCTCGGGCCGCTGGCACGAAGGGAAGACTGACCGGCCACTGGGGAGATCTCAATGGCTGGCGGTGTGGCAGGCGCCATCACTCCAGCCATGGCGGGAAGGCGGGACGGCAACGGGAGAGTCGCCGGCGGCGAGCCGCAGAGAGGCGGGGGCAGGAAAACCCGAGGAGCGGGTCGCGGGAAGCGCCAGGCCGAGCGGGTCGCGCAAACCACCCTGAGACGATACGGTTTGAGCCAAAGGTTACGGGAGGAAGAGGAGGAGGAGGAGGAGGAGGAGGAGAATCACATGCTCCGCACACCAGAAGTACTGAGATGGCATAGTAGACCTCTCCTCCTCCTCTTCCTCCTCCTCCTCCTCCCCCTCCTCCTCCCCTCCTCCTCCTCCTCCTCCTCCTCCTCCTCCTCCTCCCCCTCCTCCTCCTCCTCCTCCTCCTCCTCCTCTTCCTCCTCCTCCTACTCCTCCGCATACTCCGCCTCTTTCTTCTTGAGGAGACACGTGTGTGGGTTACTTCCCCTGCCCAAAGGTTTGGTTCGGGCGTCCCCCATTCGTTCGGCCTTTCCCTGGGGGGCTTTACCCATGGGGCCATATCCGAGCCAACTCGTCCTCTCGAAGTTAGGAGTTTTCGGGCGCTTTGATTTTCGATATGAGCCTCTGGGAACTTCCGAGGGCGTCTGGAGACCTCCACCTCCAGGGCTCGAAGGCATCCTCCGACTCCCTCTCCTCCTCCTTGTCATCGTCGCGTTTGTCTGTCGGCCTCAGATGACCGCTCGTCCTTCTCCATGTGTTCAATCACGCTGGATATCCTCTTCCTGCTTATCCTCTTCCTCCTCCTCCTTCTCCTCCTCCTCCTCCTCCTCCTCCTCCTCTCTTCCCACCCCTCCTCATCCATCCACACGCGCCAGCAATGAACTGGCCACACTCGGCAACGTAATTGTTGCGCCTGTGTCCTCGGGCCGCCTAGCTTCACGCTCTCGAGCGGCCCCGCCTAGAGAAGAACGCCTCTCGGGCCTACGCTGCGAGACACGCACCCGCAGGTGACCAGTGGCCTGGTGAGGACCAGCATGTGGGAGGAGGAGGGGGAGGAGGAGGAGGAGGAGGAGGAGGAGGAGGAGGAGGAAGAAGAAGAGGAGGATGACACATATTACTAATCACAACAGGAAGAATAATAAGAAACAAAAACAAGATGGGAGAAAAAGGGACAGTGACGCCGCCGACGACGACGACGACGACGACGACGACAACGACGACCCCTGGAGGCCTCCGCGGACCTCGACCTCGGATCCTCCATCGTCGACGATCACAGATCCTCGATATCCCCGATCCTCGAACCTCGATGGCCCGCGGCGGCGCCGCCGCCGCCGAGGGCCGCCGAGGCCCGCCGAAGTGCGACGGCGACGGCGGCGACCGATGAGCGGACAGGGGAACGAAGAACGGCATCATCATAAAAACTCGGAGGTCCGCGCGGATTTCTTGGATCCGCGCGGGGCGCGCGGCGCCGCCAGGTGGCCCCAGCGCCGATCCGAGAAATCCGCGCGGACCTCCGAGTTTGTATGTTTATGTCATTGTTGGAGGCCTGGACATTGGCACCAACACCAACACAAGGGGGGTTGCCTCCACAGGGGGACGGTGATCCTAGATTTCGGCGTTGGTGGCAATATATTTCGGCCACCTAGGAAGAGCCCGAACCTTACCACCATCACCGAGATCGGGATCGCCATCCCTCGGTGGAAGCACACCGCCGATACAGTGAAAACGTATATTAAGGACGGGTGGTAAGGACGCAAAGACCCTCGGGGGCCGAAATCGGGATTTGTTGGTCGGCGGGCGACCAAAACCCCAATGGACACGGCAAGGGACGGGCCGCAGAAGCAAGGACACAGGGCTATCCTAGAAAAGGCGCGCGTCCTTACTATGCGCGTTGACTGTATTGGTGTTGGTGTCCACCTCCGGGCCTGCGACAGCGCTTGTTTGAAGGGGAACTGGAACACACAAATAAATACACACAAATAAAAATATCCCCCATATTTTCCCATATTTTCTGGGTTTTCGTCTTCCCCCCCACTTCCCATATTTTCCCATATTTTCCTAGGACTCAACGATTAATTGTGTCTGTGTGTTTCTTTCCTTCCTGATCAACCTCCGGGCCTGCGACAGTGCTTCTTCCCCCAGCGAAGGCGCGCGGAGGCCCCGCCTCGGCGCGCCGGCGCGCGCTCGGCGGCGGGGCTCTGGCGTGGGGCCGCTGGCCGCGGGCGGGGGTCGGCGCCCGCAGGCCTGCGCGGCCTGCGCGGCCTCCTCCTCCTCCTCCTCCTCCTCCTCCTCCTCCTCCTCCTCCTCCTCCTCCTCCTCCTCATCATCATCATCATCATCATCATCATCATCATCATCATCATCATCATCATCCTGTTTCTCCTACTTCTCCTCCTCCTCCTCCTCCTCGTCCTCCTCCTCCTCCTCCTCCCTCGTCGTCCTGACACGGAGGTTTGTGCCGGTCTTACCACAGAAGCAAGCTCGAACTGGGCGCGGGCGACTTGCCCCCAAACCTCCCGGGCGACGCCCCTCGAAGAGCGAGCGCCTTCGGGCGCCTTGGGGCGCTGCTCGGTGGCAAGGGTCTGGGATGCGTGCAGTCGGGGCGTTGGCCTAAGGAACCCTAATTAGGGAACGAGGCCCCTTTTCTCCATCAGTTCAACTTCGATTTCCCATCGGAAACATGAGGGAAACCTGAGGCAAACTGTGAAACACTTAAGGAACGCGGAGCCCCTCCCCAACCAAAAGGGTTCCTTCTTCAGGGCCCCGACTGTGTGGGTTCTGCCCGCCGGCCAGGTCAGGGGGCGGAGCAGAAGGAGGGGGAGGAGGAGGCTCGCTGGCCAAAGTTCCACGGTCAGAACTTAGCCTGGCGAAGGACCCAACCATTCGACGATGTGAACACCGCAATTGTGGATACCGTCTCCGGTGGCGCTCCATATGGGGCCACGACCCGTGTGGGGGGGGCGTGCCGAAAATGGGTGGCGCGGGCGCATGGGAACGTCGCCACTGGGGCCTTAGGTGGAGCTCCCTATGGGGCCACGAATCATGAATGGGGGCGTGCCGAGAATGGGTGGCGGGGACGCATGGGAACGTCGTCACTAGGGCCTCAGGTGGAGCTCCTTATGGGGCCACGAACCGTGCGAGGAGTGTGCCAAAATGGGCGGCGGGGACGCATGGAAACGTTGCCACTGGAGCCTTAGGTGGAGCTCCCTATGGGGCCACGAACCGTGTGAGGGGTGTGCCGAAATAAATGGCGGAGACGCACGTAAACTGTGCCATTGGGGCCTTTGGTGGAGCTCCCTTTGGGGCCACGAACCATGTGGGGAACGTGCCGCAAAATGGCTGGCGGGGACGCATGGGAATGTCGCCACTGGGGCCCCTGGTGGGTTCCCTATGGGGTCATGAACCGTGTAAGGGGTGTGCCAAAATGGGTGGCGGGGACGTATGCGAACGTCGCCATTGGAACCTTAGGAGGAGTTCCCTGTGCGGTCACGAAACGTGTGAATGGTGTGCCGAAACGGGTGGCGGTGACGCATGGGACGGTCGCCACTGAGGCCTTAAGTGAGAACTGTCCATGGGGCCACGAACTGCGTGACGGGTGTGCCGAACTGGGCGGCAGGGACGCACGGGAACGTCGCCATTGGACCCTTAGGTGGAGCTCTCAATGGGGCCACAAACCGTGCGAGGGGTGTGCTGTAATGGTAAGCGGGGACGCATGGGAGCGTCGCCGCTGGAGCCTTAAGTGGAGCTCCCTATGGGGCCACGGATCGTGTGAGGGGTGTGCCAAAATGGGTGGCGGGGACGCATAGGAACGTCGCCTCTGGAGCCTTAGGTGGAGTTCCCCACGGGGTCACGACATGTGTGAAGGATGTGCCAAAGGGGGTGGCGATGGTGGCAATGATGTTGATGCTGGATGGGAGGGAGGAGGTGGGGCAGGAAGGAAGGAACGCGGAGCGCTGTCTCTTCAAAACGAGAACCCAACACCACAGGATGTTTGGGAATAACATAACGTCAACGATCCTGGCGTGCACCTGCACAGCAGGCTCGCGCACACCGTCGTCGCAGCGCACGGTCGCCCAAAAGGAGGGGAGGACGAGGATCATGAAAGCAGTTGGAACACGCAAGCAAACAAAATACATACTAGACCGCAGATTCGATGTTCCTTCGTCTGCCAGGGCCGCCCACCTTCCCCCACCGTGCACACAACAATTCACCTCCCTCTGGGGCCACGAACCGTGTGAACGGTGAGCCGAAATGGATGGCTGGTATGCATGTGGACGCACCCCCTGGGGCCTTCGGTGAAGCTCCCTATGGGGCCACGAACCGTGTGAGGGGTGTGCCGACATGAGTTCCTGGGACTCATGTGGACGCACCCCCTAGCGCCTTAGGTGGAGCTCCCTCTGGGGCCACGGACCGCGTGATGGGGTGTGCTGTAATGGGTGGCGGGGACGCATGGGGCCACACTCCGTGGATCCTTCGGTGGCCGCGAACCGTGTGAGGGGTGTGCCGAAATGGGTGGCAGGGACGCATGACAACTGTGCCACTGGGGCATTCGGTGGAGCTCCCTATGGGGTCATGACCCGTGTGAGGGGTGTGCCGACATGGGTGGCGGGGACGCATGGAAACGTCGCCTCTGGGGCCTTCGGTGGAGCTCCTTATGGGGCCACGAACCGTGTGAGGGGCGCGCCGAAAATGGTGACAGGGACGCCTGTAGACTGTGCCGCTGAGGCCTCCGGTGGAGCTCCCCATGGGGCCACGGACCGCGTGATGGGTGTGCTTTAATGGTAAGCGGGGACGCATGTAAACTGTGCCGCTGGGGCTTGGGTGGATCTTCCTATGTGGCCACGAACCGTGTGAAAAGGGAGTGCCGAAATACGTGGCGGGGCCGCGTGTAAACTGCGCCACTGGGGCCTTCGGTGGAGCTCACTATGGGGCCACGAACCGTGTGAGGGGTGTGCCGAAATAAATGGCGGAGACGCATGTAAAGTGTGCCATTGTGGCCTTTGGTGGGGCTCCCTAGAGGAGGGCGAGGAGGATGAGGCCCAGCGCCAGCGTCATGGAACACAAGAAGGAGAAGGACGAGAGCCGAGGAGAAAAGAGGACAGAGGCGACGGATGGTGGAGGGAGGAGGAGAAGGAGGAGGAGCTCCGCCATGTCCCGCGCTCGCCTGCGCAACTCGCAAGTCAAAACCACGCCTGCAGCATCCAGGATCACATGGTCACCACGAAACGCCTCATGGGGAAGTTGCTCGCGCGCGTCTTCTCCTTCGCCGTCTTGGCAATCTTTTGCTCCGTCTTCAACGCACGCCTCAGCGCGCGGGTCTTCTTGGGCCTCAGATCGAGGGGGACGTACTTCTTGCCCTTGCACTCCTTGCGAGCCTCCGCCTTTTGCTTCTGGTTGTAGACGGTCAGGATGCGCGCAATCGACTTCCGGACAATCTTGATCTTGGCCAACTTGGACGCGGCTCCACCCGCAACCTTCGCCACGCGCAGCTGAGACAGCTCGCTCTTCATCTCGTCGAGGTCCTTCAGGAGCTCCTTGGAGGTCTTGGAGCGCAGCTCATAGGCCTTGACGCGCGCCATCTTCGCTGCTGCGTGGGGGCGGGGAGTACCGTTGAACTGCAGGCTCACGCGATAAGCTGAGGACGCTAGACCCTGAGACGAAACGGCCACGGAGGCGGAGGATGACGCCTCCCTGCTCTCTGTCTCGGTTTGTCTGTTACTGTGCATGCGTCGCCGTCTCTTTTTCTTTGGAAGTCGTCTCTGTCTCTCTCTCTCTGTCTCCGTCTCTCGCTATCTCTCTCTCTTTCGCTCTCATTTCTCTCAATAGTTCAACATAAGTTCATATATCTATATATGTGTCAATATAACAACGTACCCCTTTTCTCTATAAGTATTATCTATGTGTGTGGGGGTGTCTCGTTCTCTCCGTCTCTCTTTCTATATCTCTCTCTCTGGTCCCCTCCCCCCCTCTCTCGCCCCCCTTTCTCTCTCGATGTATACGTATACATACACATCTATACATCTGTATATATATATGTATATGTATATGGATTGCATCGTCCTCTTTCTCTCTTCCTCTCTCTTTCTCTCTCTCTCTCTCTGCCTCTCGCTCTCTTTGTCTCTCTTTCCCCCCTTTGTCTGTAAATCTTGTATACACATATGTATGGGCACATATGTATGCACTGATGTGCGTGCGCCTTCCTACAGCATTGCTTGTTGATTGCTCTCTCGCTCTCGCTCTCGCTCTCGCTCTCGCTCTCGCTCTTTCTCTCTCTCTCTCTGCATCTCTCGCTCTCTCTCTCTCTCCCCACCCTCTCTCTCTCTCTCCCTCTCCCTCTCTCGCTCTCTCTCTCTCTCTCTCTCTTTCTCCATCTCTCTCTCTCTATCTCTTTCTCTCTCCCTCTCCCTCACTCCATGTGTCTCCCCCTGTCTCTCTCCCTCTCTCATTTTCTCGTTCTCTCTCTCTCTCTCTCTCTCTCTCCCTCTCTCTATCCATATCGTTCCCTCCCTTTTGCTTATATATACATATATATATATGTATACATATGTGCACCCTGCTCTCTGTACTTATGTATGTATATGTCTGCACGACGGACTCTATCATGTGTCGCTTAGTTGCTATACGAAAATACATAAATAACATGTGTATGCATCTCTCTCGCTCTCTCTCTCTCCGTTCTCTCTTTCCCTCTATCGCTTTATCTCTCTATCTCTGTGTATCGTTCTCTCCCTCTCTATTACGTTCTATATCTCCCTCGCTCTCTCTCCATGTCTTCTTCTTCTGTCTCTCTCGCTCTCTCTTTCTCTCTCTCTCTCTCTACCCCTCTCTGGCCAGAGAGAGCGAGAGAGAAAGAAAGAGAGAGGGGACAACACAAGGAGGGAAAGTGAGCAAAAGGAGGCTGGGACAAGGAGGGACCACGGACACTGCTTGAACGTACTTGCTCCCTATGCTTCCTCTGGTCTGGGGGGCTACGTGAATTTCGATGTTGTCTATCAAGCCCCGATGTCTTCTGGCCCCTTGGGCTCACCACTGCCGGCAGCGAAACACGACCAGCCAACTATTCGTCACTCTTGACACCTGAAAGCCCATGATTACGTAAATGTATTGTGTTGCTGTCGGTCTGGGGAAGGGCCGCGTATGTGAATGTTATGTGCATCGTTGTTGCTCTGAAACTTGACCGAGGGCGGAAAGGGGGGGGGAAATATCATGTGAAGTGTCATCAGTACACTAAGCGAAGTTGTTGTGGCTTGTCTGGTTGTCGCAGCTGCGACGTTCGGAATTATTCATGCTGACGGCCAACTTTGTTGGCTGGGATGGCGGCAGATGCTTCCAGAGCAGAACCCCGTTTAGGCTTTCAACCTAAACGCTAAGACGGGAGGAAGGGTAGGGGCCGCGGCGGGGGACAGGGCTGCCAGGATTGTAATTGCGCCTCGCTCTCAAACGGGGCCCGTTGCTTACAGTCCAAAACCATAAGAAGGACGTGCGGTGAGGACGCAAGACCCTTGGAAGCCGAAGTTGGGATTTTTGGGGCGGCGGACGACGAAACCCCCAAGGACGCAAGAGCAAGGAAGAGCAAGGACGCAAGGGTACCCTGAGTAAAGTCGCGCGTCCTTATTAGGGTGTTTGACTGTACACGCCCCGCCACATGCCTCCCAGCGCCAGGTGTGTGTGTGTGTGTGTGTGTGCGTGTGCGTGTGCGTGTGCGTGTGCGTGTGTGTGTGTGTATGTGTGTGTGTGTGTGTGTGTGTGTGTGTGTGTGTGTGTGTGTGTGTGTGTGTGTGTGTGTGTGTGTGTGTGTGTGTGTGTGTGTGTGTGTGTGTGTGTGTGTGTGTGTGTGTGTGTGTGTGTGTGTGTGTGTGTGTGTGTGTGTGTGTGGTGTGTGTGTGTGTGGGGGGGGGGGGGGGGGGGGGCGGGCGGGTGCAATCGCATGGGCGTACGCGGGTGCGCGCGCGGGTGCGTCCGCGTGTGTGCGCACGCGCGTGTGCATCAGTTGCTCGATGGAACAGGAGGAGGAGGAAGAGGAGGAGGAGGAAGGAGGAGGAAAGAGGAGGAGGAGGAAGAGGAGAAGGAGGGAGGAGGATGAGGAGGAGGAGGAGGAGGAGGAGGAGGAGGAGGAGAAGGAGGAGGAGGAGGAGGAGGAGGAGGAGGAGGAGGGAGGAGGGAGGAGGAGGAGGGGACAACCTGGGCGTTCCCCCCAAACCGCCCTCGGTACATTGAGATGCTCGTTGACAGCTCACTAGCAATAGTATTCCACCGGCCAGTGTAGGGATGAGGAGCAACAATAGGGGGGGACTAACAAAGGGCGGAAACATCGACCTGGAATCGGCGATGCATCACCGATACATCGGCGATAGGCCCCCGACAGCGAACCCGCACGTTGCTGGTCGGGGTGTGGGGCTATCAGACCCATACTGGCGATCAATGGGCGATCGGGGGTCGATGCATCCTCCCCTATGCCTATCCTTAGGTCGGGCATGGCCCCTCTACAGGTGGATTTTGGACGACAAATAGCATGTAGTCGTAACGATTCAAACGTTGCCCAAGAGAGTACGACAAATCGTCCCCAGACTATTCTTGATTATTCTTGAATCACCCCCCTGCGGAGGGACATGCCCGACTTGAGCCTTCCCCCCCCGATCGTTGCCCCTGAAGGGAGGATGGGGAGGGCCCTCGCCGCCGCGGCGGGATCCGCTGCAAAAGCCTGGCCAGAGCATGCTCCAGGACAGATCCTGAGGAGGGAGGATTGGGAGGAGGAGGAGGAGGAGGAGGAGGAGGAGGAAGAGGAGGAGGAGGAGGAGAAGGAAGAGGAGGAGGAGGAGAAGGGGGAGGAGGGATGGAGGGAGGGAGGGAGGGAGGGAGGAAGGGAGGGGAGGAGGAGGAGGAGGAGGAGGAGGAGGAGGAGGAGGACGAGGAGGAGGAGGAGGACGAGGAGGAGGAGGAGGAGGACGAGGAGAAGGAGGAGGAGGAGGGGAGGGAGGAGGATTCTCCTGGATTCTCCTGATGCGCACGCACGTGCACTCCTCAATCGCTGCTGCCGTGATCCTCCTCATCAGCCAGCCTCATTCCGCTGGCGAGGGCCCTGGGACAATGCTGGGCGGACCGAGACAGGTACTCATCCGTGGGCGAGGGCCCCAAGTACGGCCCAGGGACCCCGCCAGGAACACGCGAAATCGCCACAGCTCGATCCGCCCGGTCCACCAAGAAGGCCGCAGGAGGCCCTCGATGAGAACGAAACGAAGTCTTACGAGTTCTAGCGAGGCTCTCACGGCCCTTTTCTTTGAAGGGGCCGCCTCGCCTCTAGACACGCACTCCCCTGCGAGCCTCTCCGGCCGTCGACGGTGGCAGTGAAGCTGCATGAGGAACAAAACTTCTCCTCCTCCTCCTCCTCCTCCTCCTCCTCCTTTGACACCGCACTCCTCCATCCCGATTCTTCGAGTGCAACGTTTACCTATGAGTGGAGTGGAGCTTCACTCCGACGACCCACTGGTCACCAAGCAGCGGCTCGAGCAGGGAACCATCCTCGAGCCCAGAGGGACCAGGGTCGGCGGATCCAGCCTCGGCGACAAGGGCACGCGAGCAACCCTGCGCCGCCAAGGCCAGGAGCTGAGAAGGAGGAACACTCTGCTTGCACAACTGATACCGCCATCTGCCTACGAAAGGGCTTGAACAGGTGCGCGCTCTTCCTCGAGGCAAGCTCGAGCTTACTGGGCGGGGAAAAAACCTGAATAGAAGGTCTGGCACCCACCCACGGCTCGGCCTCCAGGGAACAGAGGAGAACACGCCTAGCGCTCCGACGGACCATGGCCGAAACAAGATCGTGGAAATCCGTGCGTGGGGGGGGCGCGACAGGACAATCCCAGGACCATTTAGCCGCCTTCCCCGTCCACAAATCCGCATAAGCATCACCTTGAGCTACGAATGCCCCCCAAGGAGTCCGAAGTCGCTCTGGGCCCTGATCTAGGCGAGACTCCGTCCAGACCGCTTGGACCTCGGCAGGACCACGGGAACGCAGGGCCAGCCCAATCCTAACCCACAGGTCCCCCGTGCGACCACACGGGGCCTGAGCCCGGCCGAGATCCCAGTCGGATGCAGTCGGTGGCATGCACAAGCGGGCCCCTGTGGGAAGGCACCAACTATACACCAACACCGATCCTGGCCCAGGATCACCCTGGGCCCAGGATCGGTGTATACTCCCTCCTGCCTTGCGCAAGAAGGCATATACACCGATCCTGGGCCCAGGGTGATCCTGGGCCAGGATCGGTGTTGGTGTATAGTTGGTGCCCTCCGACCCTGGCCAGCTGCAGGGCCAGACGAAACGCGAGCAGCTCGGCCCCAGGCACCGTTTGCCGTCGGCCCACGGGGGCCACGGCAGCACCACACAGGGGCCTCCAGAGCAGACTCGGCCTGGGCCCCCGGACCACGAAGACCGGGCCGGGCGAAAGGGGGGGATCCCAAAGGGGGGGTTTGAGAATCAGCCCACGTAGCTGATTTTACCGGCGCCTCCTGGCGCCGGGAGGCGCCCATGTATCGAGGATTGGCCCGGCGGCGGGGGCCTAAACCCCCCCTTTCCCCCCCCCCCCCCCCTTCCCCCCCCCCCCCCCTTTCCCCCCCCCCCTTTCCCCCCCTTTTCCCTCCCCCCCCCCCTTTCGCTCGACCCGAGAAGACCGCCGAAGCTCCGCGGCGTCTCCGCCTCGGGCCCGAGCGGAACTCACCGCCCGAGCCGTCCTCCGAGCACGCAGCGCGGTGGACCTCCGCAGGTCGAGCTCTGGTCCAGGAGCCCGACTTCCCTCGGAAGGGTCTCATGGCCTACAGGGCAGTTTTTAACACACAGTTTTTTTTTAAATAATAAAAAAACATGACTAATGTATGGAAAAATGTATGCACGAACTCATCGTTGTTGTTACTGCTAAATCCCTGCATGTTTAGTACATGATCCGCACGCGGAGCATGTATTAAAAACTGCCCTGTACAGTCAGCCCGTATAGCAAGGATGCGCGACGAGGATGCACGGGTCTTGGACGCCCATTTCGAAGCTCTTCGAGCGGGCCGCGGCCAACGAAAGCGGCCAAGGATGGGCCGAGAGGGCAAGGATGCAAGGGCACCCTTGGGAAGGCTGCCCATCCTTATACTACGCGGGTTGACTGCAACCCAGGGTTCTCACAAGACGCAAGGACCGTGAGCTCCGTCCGAGGGACCCCCCGCAGCCACAGCGCGGGCGCAGCCTCGTGGGCAGCCATGGCCCGAGGGAGGGAAGAATCGGAAGGCGTGAGACCTTCGTGCCCGCAGTTCGCGGGACACGTCCAAACACTTTTTTGGATTCGCGGGTCGAGAGCGCACCTCTTCCGGTCGAAGCTAAGCGGGCCGCGCGAAGCTTGAATCAACCAGAGATGGGGGAGGGAAAGGGGGGCGCAGCCTCAGAACGAGGCCGGGACGAGGCAAAGCCTCGGGATCAGGCGGTGCCGTAGCCAACGAACTTGCAAAGGAGCGCCTTCGGACACGTCCAAACACGATGGAAACAAGCTCTCGGGGCCTGGGTTGCACCTCGGGCAGACCTCAGGGCAGTTATAGCCAGCCGCACATTGACGAGCTCGCGGCCGTTGACCTCCAGCAAGGACAGTGAGGTTGGCTGACGCAACTCCCTCTCTCGTTGCTTAGCCAGGTAATCCAACTCACGAGACACCATCGTCATGCCAGCTCCTGCGCACAAGTCATCGTCTGCCTGCTGTCTCGCGGCATGCTGCCACAGCTTCGTCGCAAAATCCTCCGTGGAATCACCAAGGAGATCATCGTAGTTGGCCATTACTGCCACGTCGAACCCAGGGTCACCGAAAGCAGGGAGAGACCACTCCTCTGGGCCTTCCACTCCGTGGCGTATCCAGACGTTGGGTTGACGAGGCTCCCGGCCCGCCTGGATCATGGTCGCTTGCACCGCAGCAATCGGGCCCCGCACATCGGACCACTTCACTGGAATATGAGCAAACTGTGGAAGCCGAGCACGAACTTGACTCCACGCCCGACGCAGACGAGGTTGAAGCCCAGGTTGTCGCAGCCAGAACACATCCACCCCCTCAGTACCCGAACGCGCAGGTTGACTCCAGAATCAGGCACACCTATCGTGGCCTGCAAAACTGAGGTGGAGCACCTCCCCCGCTTGGAGCCAGCGAGTGCCGCCCGCAGCACCTCTGCGTAGCTCCAGCACCTGCGAGGGAGGGGCACCGAGAATCTGGTGCCCGAAGTTGGCCGCGGGGTATGCACCAGTAGTCCAAAGCTTCCTCGTAATGAAACAACTGCCAGGCAGCGTTTTGGTGCGCAGCATCCTGCCAGGAGGGAGGATGAGGAGGAGGAGGAGGAGGGAGGAGGAGGAGGAGGAGGAGGAGGAGGAGGAGGAGGAGGAGGAGGAGTAGGAGGAGGAGGAGGAGGAGGAGGTTGGGAAGGAGAGGAGGGAGGAGGGGAGGAGGAGGAGGAGGAGGAGGAGAGGAGGAGAGAGGAGGAGGAGGAGGAGGAGGGAGGAGGAGGAGGAGGAGGAGTAGGAGTAGGAGGAGGAGGAGGAGGAGGAGAGACGTGAAAGGCGTCCCCCCGGAGCGCCTAGGCTCGCGAAGGCCGCCGCACAGGTGGCCACCGCCGCGAGGGCGGCCAAGGCCGGGAGCGCCACCCGCGCAGCGGGGCGCCGGCGGCCGGAGCGCCAGCATCCTGCAGCGCAGGGCGGATCGAGGACGCAGGAGCATCGAGATGCCAACGCCTCCTCCTTCTCCTCCTCCTCCTCCTCCTCCTTCTCCTTCTCCTCCTTTTCTTAGGCAAGCTGCGAGGCACCCACCTGGAGAGTAAGTCTCCTTCTCCTCCTCCTCCTCCTCCTCCTCCTCCTCCTCCTTTCTCCTCCTTTTCTCAGGCAAGCTGCGAGGATCACACCTTGAGCGTAAGTCTCCTTCTCCTCCTCCTCCTCCTCTCCTCCTCCTCCTCCTTCTGCTCCTTCCTCCTCCTCCTCCTCCTCCTCCTCCTCCTCCTCCTTCTGCTCCTTCCTCCTCCTCCTCCTCCTCCTCCTCCTCCTCCTGCTCCTCCTCCTGCTCCTCCTCCTGGTGTTTGGCCAGGACGCAGGAGCATCGAGGATCGAGGAAGTTCGAGGATCTGGGGGCAAGGAAGATCGAGGATCGGGGATAGATGTACATGTAACATAACGCATGCACGCAATATGTACATGTATACAATTTACATAAATATATACACCTATACGTGTATATGTTTGTGTATAAATATACATACATGCATATAAATATGTGTATACACATTTATATATCTATATATATATATATATATATGTGTAAACGTGTCTGAATTTATTGTCTGACGTGTTTCGCGCTGAGGCTCCCGAAGGCTTCTCGTCGCTGCGGCTCGATTCCCCTGGAAGGTCTGGCCTGCGCGCTCCACGGGAGAGGCCGGCAGGGGTCGAGTCTGGAGGGTGCGGGAGCACGAGGAGGGAGGGCCGTCACGATGAGTACGAGACAGGCGAGGAGGAGGAGGAAGAGAAAGGAGGAGGAGGAGGACGAGGAGGAGGAGGAGGACGAGGAGGAGGAGGAGCAGGAGGAAGAGAAAGAGAGGAGGAGGAGGAGGAGGAGGAGGAGGAGGAGGAGGAGAAGACAGACGAGGAGGAGGAGGAGGAGAAAGAGAAAGGAGGAGGAGGAGGAGGAGGAGGAAGAGAAAGAGGAGGAAAGGAGAGAGAGGAGGAGGGATGAGCGGGAAAGGGGTAATCCATCGTCATGGTGGCAGTGGTGATGACAAGGAGGAAGAAGGGGGGAGGCTGGATGACGCTGGTGATGATGATGCTGATGATGATGAGGGGAATGAAGACGAGAATGACGAGGGAGGATGAGGAGGAAGAGGATGAGGAGTGATGATGGTCATGATGGTGAGGAGGAGGAGGCGGAGGACGAGGAGGAGGAGGAGGAGGAGGACGAGCATCCGCTCTTGTCATAGAAGGCATCAGGTACTCGTGAAGCAGCCCCTGAACCTCGCAAGCCAGTGCCTCTGATACGGGCACACATTACCTGTATGCGTGCCATCGTGTGTAGATCTCTGTGTCGATCCGCCACCGTGCCCTCTTGCGTTGAGGCGTGGCTGCCAAGGGCTGCCTGGAAAGGTCCCTGTAATCTTCTAAGGGCCCCCCCTCTCGAAACGCCCACCCACCTGCACCCCTCCCTTTCCTTTGCAAGAGCTGCGGGCCCGCATTCCCGAGGACACGATCACGTGTAAGAAGCTAATTGCACGTTGTTCATTTCTAATCGTGCTCATCTCCAGTTGTGATCGTTTCTAACTGCTCCTGGCCCCCTCGTGGCCAGGAAGAGGCCCAGGATAGGACAACTAGAGATGAAAGGATCTTGGCCAACAAAACATCAAGAAGAACTCTCGAAGAACCAGACGTGAACAGCGTGTAGGGACCTGCGCTCCGGAGGCCACGATGCCCTGCAGAGGAGGAGGAGGAGGAGGAGGAGGAGGAGGAGGAGGAGGAGGAGGAGGACGAGGCCGCGGCCCTCCGCGAGACGCGAGGGGCCCGCGCTCCCGAGGCCACGAGCCCTGGCGGAAGCGAGGGGGTCCGCGCGCCCGGGCCTCTGAGACGGTCGAGGCAGGCAGGCAGGGCCACCAGGAGGTCGGGCCACCAGGAGGATCGGGTCGGGCGCCAGGGGGGGACAGCAAAGGGGGGGTTTGAGAATCAGCTCACGTAGCTGATTTTCCTGGCGCCTCCCGGCGCCGGAAGCGGCCATGTATCGAGGAATGGGCCCCTCGGTGAGGCCGAAACCAGCTGCATGCAGCAGATTTCGTAACCCCCCCTTTCCCAATCCCCCCCTTTCGCCCGACCCGAGATTCTTGGACGGAGACTAAAAAGAAAGTACCCCAGAAATGCTCACCAAAAGATGCCCACTAATACTTAAAAAAAGGGTCCCCAGACCATTCTTTGGCAGGCAGGCAGGGCCACCAGGAGGTCGGGCCTGTCCCCCCTACAGGGGGATTCTTGGACGGACACTAAAAAAAAGTACCCCAGAAATGCTCATCAAAAGATGCCCACAGATACTGAAAAAAGGGTCCCCAGACTATTCTTTGGCAGGCAGGCAGGGCCACCAGGAGGTCGGGCCTGTCTCCTTACAGGGGGATTCTTGGACGGAAACTAAAAAAAAGTACCCCAGAAATGCTCATCAAAAGATGCCCACAAAAACTAAAAAAATGGGCCACCATGAGGTCGGGCCTGTCCCCCATACAGGGGGAGCTTGGACGGCAGCTAAAAAATTCCCCGAAATGCTCCAAATGGGGGTCCCGAAGCCGTGCGGTGGCAGACCCGGCGGTGCCCAAGGACCTCGCCGCAGGGCCCGTCACCGCACGGCTTGGGGACCCTGGGGGCCCCAAGTCGCCCGAGGCATCCCCGGACCACGACCCAGGTCCCCCAAACCGTGCGGGGACCCCGAATCCCGTGCTCCAAAAGGGGGTCCCGAAGCCGTGTGGTGGCAGACCCGGCGGTGACCTCGGCATCCCCAAAGACCTGGCCGCAGGGCCCGTCACCACACGGCTTGGGGACCCTGGGGGCCCCAAGTCGCCCGAGACATCCCCGGACCACGACCCAGGTCCCCCAAACAGTGCGGGGACCCCGAATCCCCGCCGACTCACCACTCACTAGGGTGAAGTCGGACCTGTCCCCCGACAGGGGGAGGGGGATCCTGGACGGAAGCTGAAAAAAATACCCCCAAAAATGCTCAAGAGATGCCCACAAATACTCCAAAATAATGCCCCGACTATTGCTTGACCATTTTTGAATGTTCCCCCTGTAGAGGGACCAGCCCGACTTGAGGCCACCAAGATGGCTCACGATGCCAAGACGGCCCAACATCGCCTCCAGGCGGCCCAAGATCGGGGCCCGAAGAGAACCAAGAACATGATTCCCCGCAGGCACCGGACAGATTCGGGAGAGGGGGAACGAAAAACAGGAAGAGCCAAACTCGCCGTCGCTCGGACGTCCGTTCCCCGCGCATGTCTCGACTTCGCGCGTGTGTTTCTCGCAAGATGATCCGAGATGCTCCTCGATGGTCCTCGCCGAGGACACACTGTCGAAGGGGCCCTGGGGCGCACACACATGAATACGCACACATAAGAGGACTCCCCATACTTTCCCACATCTTCTGGGTTTCGGTCTCGCCCCCCCCACTGCCCATAGTTTCCCCATGTTCCCCTGGGAGTCGACGATTCAAGGTGTCTCTGTGTGTGTGTGGTGTGTGTGTGGTGTGTGTGTGTGTGGTGTGTGTGTGGTGTGTGTGTGCGTGGTGTGTGTGTGTGTGGTGTGTGTGTGTGGCGTGCGTGTGTGTGTGTGTGTGTGTGTGTGTGTGTGTGTGTGTGTGTGTGTGCGTGCGTGCGTGCGTGCGTGCGTGCGTGCGTGCGTGCGTGCGTGCGTGCGTGCTTGCGTGCGTGCGTGCGTGCGTGCGTGCGTGCGTGCGTGCGTGCGTGCGTGCGTGCGTGCGTGCGTGCGTGCGTGCGTGCGTGCGTGCGTGCGTGCGTGTGCGCGTTGCGCGTGCGCGTGCGCGTGCGCGTGCCGTGCGCGTGCGCGTGCGCGTGCGCGTGCGCGTGCGCGTGCGCGTGCGCGTGCGCGTGCGCGTGCGCGTGCGCGTGCGCGTGCGTGCGTGCGTGCGTGCGTGCTTCTTCCCCTCCTGCGCACTGCGCACGCCCGAGCGACGCCGGGCACGCCGGCCGCCGAGGAGGCGAGAGGGGGCGGGCGGCAGCGGGCTCCGGGCTCCCGCTTTGCCTCCTCGGGGGGCCTCGCCTGTCCCGTCGCGGCCCTATCCTCAAGTCGGGCCTGTCCCCCTACTGGGGGGATTCTGGGCGAAAAATAAAAAATATTCAAAAAATGCTCACAAGATGCCCCAAACATACGCAAAACTGTCCCGTCGCGGCCCTATCCTCAAGTCGGGCCTGTCCCCCTACGAGGGGGATTCTGGGCGAAAGGTGAGAAGTACTCCCAAAGTGCTCCAAAGGTGCCCAAAAATACGCAAAACTGTCCCGTCGCGGCCCTATCCTCAAGTCGGGCCTGTCCCCCTACGAGGGGGGATTCTGGGCGAAAAGTGAAAAGTACTCCCAAAAATGCTCCAAAGGTGCCCAGAAATACGCAAAACTGTCCCGTCGCGGCCCTATCCTCAAGTCGGGCCTGTCCCCCTACGAGGGGGATTTTGGGCGAAAGATGAAACATACTCCCAAAAATGCTCAAAATATATGCCCCAAACATACGCAAAGCTGTCCCGTCGCGGCCCTATCCTTAAGTCGGGCCCTGTCCCCCTACTAGGGGGATTTTGGGCGAAAGATAAAAAATATTCAAAAAATGCTCACAAGATGCCCAAAATATGCAAAACTGTCCCGTCGCGGCCCTATCCTTAAGTCGGACCCTGTCCGCCTACAGGGGGATTTTGGGCGAAAAATGAAACATACCCCCAAAATGCTCAAAAGATTACCCAAAAATGCGCAAAAAAAGAGTCCCCAGACTATTTTTGGACTATTCTTGGATATTCCCCCTGTAGAGGGACAGGCCCGACTTAACCCTATCCGCGTGGAATCCGTGTGGAATCCATGTCGGCCTTGTCGGATCCGTGTCGAGTCCGTGTCGGATCCGCGCCGAATGCACGCCAAATCCGCGTCGAGGCCGCATCGAGCCCGCGTCGGGCACGAGAAAAGACGCCACTCTGGGGGACAGGCGAAGTCGGCCGAAAATGCAACGCAACATCCCGTGCTCCAAAAGGGGGTCCCGAAGCCGTGTGGTGGCAGACCCGGCGGTGACCTCGGCATCCCCAAAGACCTGGCCGCAGGGCCCGCCACCACACGGCTTGGGGACCCTGGAGGCCCCAAGTCGCCCGAGACATCCCCGGACCACGACCCAGGTCCCCCAAACCGTGCGGGGACCCCGAATCCCCGCCGACTCACCACTCACTAGGGTGAAGTCGGGCCTGTGCCCCGACAGGGGGATCCTGGACGGAAACTAGAAAATACCAACAAAAATGCTCAAGAGATGCCCACAAATACTCCAAAATAATGCCCCGACTGTTGTTTGACTATTTTTGGATTTCCCCCCTGTAGAGGGACCGGCCCGACTTTAACACTCGGAGGTCCGCGCGGCTGTCTCGTATCGGCGCTGGACCCCCCTCCCCGGCGCGCGGGGCGCGCCGGAGGCAGAGCTGGAGGCGCCGCCAAGGGGGTCCAGCGCGGATCCGAGAGGTCCGCGCGGACCTGCGAGTTTTTGTGTTTATGTCATTCTCCGCCCCCCTACCCATCGGTCGGAAGAAGTAGGCAGAAACATGAAGTAGGAAGGCGGATCGAGCAGATTGGGTTCGGGCCCGCCCGGGGAGCGGCAAAACGCAGCAAAAGCACACCGGTTCTCAAAGCTAGGAAGGCGCTCGAGGTGGATTTGGTGCTGGGGGATCCTGAAGGGGCCCTGGGACACACAATTAAATACACACAAATAACAAGATTCCTCATATTTTCTTATATTTCCTGGGTTTTTGTCTCCCCCCCCACTTCCCATATTTTCCCATATTTTCCTGGGGATCGTCGATTAATTCTGTCTGTGTGTTTTTTCCCCTCCTGAGATCCAAACGTGCCTACTTTCAACGACCGATGGGCAACCACACGCTGTGGTCACCACTCCGACCCCGTGGGGCCCCCGATCCGGGGGGGGCCCGCAGGGCCGCGGCCGCGCCCCCCCCCCCCCCGCTGCAGAGGCCGCTGCCGCTCCGCCCCCGCAGCCCGGCGGGTGCCGGCCGCCTCGGCGCTGCCTCTCTGCGGCGGGGCTGCGCGTGCCCACGGCCTGAGCTCCCGCAGCCCCTCGCAGAGGCCTCCTCCTAGGAGGAGGCACCACTAGAGTCGGCCTTGATGGGGCAGGGGCACGCGAGAGGACACAGGACCCTTCCGAGGGCCACATCGCCACAGGAGCGTAAGAAGGCACGCGCCGCGAGGCACAGGACACAAGGGCGCCCTGGAGCTGGCAGGGTCGACCTACTAATCCGGGCCGACTGTAGGAGGAGGCACCGCTACACCCTGCGAAATGCTTAAGAAATCATGGGTTAAGACTTTCATAGTCTCAGAATTTGAATAAAAACCCAGAATTTCTATTTAAATCTTGGGATTTACATTGAAACGTTAAGAATAATCTAGACTCTGGCCGAAAACTTAGGTTTTCTTAAGCATCGCCTTAGGTGTATAGCACGTCAGGTGCGCCGAGACAGGAAACAGGCCAGGCGGAGACGAGTGGGGAGCGAGGCGAGCGAGCGCAGCAAAGAAGCCACTAGAGAGGGAGGCAGAGCACGAAGCAGAAAGCCAGGCGGATCACCGACGACGAAGCCAGAAGCAAGCGCCACCAGAGGACTGGAGAGGGCGAGGCTCGCCCCTCCACTCCCCCGAGATCGGGCCCTTACCCGCCTCAAGGGCTCTGATATACAGTGGGGGCTTTGACCTAAGGAACCCTACATAAGGAGCGAGGCCCCTTTTTCCCATCAGTGAAGGTTCGATTTCCCATGGGAAACCTCAGGAAAACCGAAGGCAAACTGCAGAACAGTCAAGGAACACCGAGCCCCTCCCCGCAATTGCGGATAAGAGTGAGGGGGCGGGCGCGGGCGACGCGGGCGTCGTCGAGCCGTCGGACCTCGTGGCCCCCACCTTCCCTGTCGATGGCGCTCCCCTCCTCCTCCTCCTCCTCCTCCTCCTCCTCCTCCTCCTCGTCGTCCTCCTCCTCCTCCTCCTCCTCCTCCTCCTCTTCCTCGTCCTCGTCCTCATCGTCATCGTCATCCTCCTCGTCCTTACTGGAAGCAAGGCCCGAGCAGACACCCCAGAGACGGGACAGCGGGGCCGGTAGCTGGGCCCTTGGCTCCACCACGGCGGCAGAATGCCAGGGCAGACCCAGCAGGGACGATGGCGTGACCTCTAGCGCTGGCCGGCCCGACAGGGCCGTGAGCGGGGAGGGGGAGGTCGGGAGGGACGGCATCCCGAGGAGGAAGAGGAGGAGGAGGAGGAGGAGGAGGCCTCCTAAATGGGGTCCAGACCACCCTAACTTAACCCGAAGGCCCGAATTTCGGGTTGGGGGGGGGAGGGTTCCACGCGTGTTTTGTTAAATGTTCTCCGAAGCCCCCACGCCCACTGGAAGGGAGGTCGAATTGGGGCCTTCGGGTTGGGTTGGGGTGGTTTGGTGGGTGGTGAAGTAGATGGGGACGGGGGAGCGCGCCGCATCGCCAATGAATCGGCGATGCATCGCCAACGTCTGCGATGCATTGGCGCCATCGGCGTGGAGCAGTTCTGGCTCCGCATCGAGCTGCGTCGTCGATGCATCGGAGACTTGCCGTCGCTCGGACGTCCATTCCCCGTGCATGTTTCGGCTTCGTGCGTTTTATTTTCTCGATGGATGGCCTACGATGCTCCTCGATGGCCCCTGCCGAAACAAAAAGCACACGTCCGAGCGATGCCAAGAGCATGCAGAACGATGATTCGACCCCACCTACTCGGACCCCCTTTGGAGGCCTAGACAGACATCGCCCGCCGGCCTCCAGAACGGCAGGCAACAGCTGCGGCAAAGCCTGGGCATACGGCAGTGTAGGTGAACGACGCGGCAGGGAATGTGTGTTCTGCGACGCGGTGAATCGCGACCGCCGCGCTCCCACATCTCGCGAGGGCCTCGAGCGAAACACAGCGGCCACGCTCTCCTACGACTGGCCCGGCCACGGACCAACCCCGCCTGCCATGACGGACATCACCACGCCGTTGCGCAGGGACACCGCTGGCCCGCCTGCGGTGCGGCCCGAGGCAGCACGCGGGCTCTGTGCGCTCCCTGCCCGCAGCTGCCAGGCCATGGGCGGCCAGCTAGGGGGCCACATGCGAACCCTACCCCTACCCCCCACGATTTCTGAGGGGGAGGGCCGCGGCGACCGTCAGAGCGGAGCACTGACCCTCCTCCTCCTCCTCCTCCTCCTCCTCCTCCTCCTCCTCCTGCTCGCCCCTCGAGGGATGGACCCGAGGGAGGATCTGGGTTCACTTCGAGCCGCGGCCCCCGCGGCCCCGCAGGAGCCGCACGCCCGAGGGCAGAGCCCCCCACGAAGGGACGCCACCGCGCCGCGTCCAACACGGCCGGATCTGTGCCTCCCTCGCCTGGGGGGCCCTCTCCGCATCGTCGTCGTCGTCCTCCTCCTCCTCCTCCTCCTCCTCCTCCTCCTCCTCCTCCTCCTCCTGCTCTTCCTTCTTGCCTCTCCTCCCCCTCCTCCTTCTCCTCGTCCTCCTCCTCCTCCTCCTCCTCCTCCTCCTCCTCTCCTCCTCCTCCTCCTCTCCTCCTCCTCCTCCTCCTCCTCCTCCTCCTCCTCCTCCTCCTCCTCCTCCTCCTCCCCCCCGCCCCGTCCCGTCCCAGTGAGGCACGCGCTGCTACAGTCGGACCTAGGGCATAATACCCTCCTTCAAGAACAGAAAGCCCTCCGCCGGTCGAAACACACAGAACATCCAAGGGTACCCTTCGCAGGATGCACGAAAGCATCCAACAATCACGAAGAACATGAGGAGACCCTCCCAGAACCGACCTTGATCTTATACCTTGGTCCGACTGTACCTGATCACTGGATCAGGTAGCAGGATCACCAGGTCACTGCATCACGGGATCACCAAACTGACCCGATTCAGAAACAATTTAAGCTCACATTATCTCTGGCTTCCCGAACAATCCGAACGATTTCCGCGACAATACTCAGAAGACGCATGCATGGAATCAGATCAGGAATTCCTACGGAATCCGGTGGATTTCCTCAGGGATTCCAGGGGCCCCCTGACGAATCTGCTACGACTCCAGCGTTCACAAGTCGCGGCGGACGCCACACTCCAGCGCCTCGAGGCGCCACCCATAGCGGAGCGACGCCACCGCTGATGCGAAGCAGACTCCCCGCGCGACTCCCGACCGCGCGCGCGCCCAGTCGCAAAAAGCGGACGCCACCCCCGTCGCGGAGCGAGATTCCCGCACGAGTTGGCGGCGGGGGGGAGGGACGAGGAGGAGGAGGAGGACGAGGAGGAGGAGGAGGACGAGGAACAGGAGCGAGCGAGCGAGCGGAAGCCGAGGGGCAGTTGGATCCAGAGACGGGGAGGGAGGTACAGCCCTCACAACCCCCACCCAGCACCTACACGGTGGAGCCCGAAGGCCAGGACCACCTTGCAAGCGCCAGGACGGGGCGTGGGGGACGTGCCTACCTCGACGCGGCCGCGGGCGGCCAGGGAGCACGGGGCCCGCGGCAGGCCCGTGCTCACCCGCACGAGGCCCTCCAGGGCGACGAAGAGCACCACGAGGGCTCCCAGCGCCATGAGCTGGTGCAACCACCACACCCAGTACAGCGCCAGGACAGCGAACGGCAAGCCCTCGTGAAATACGCCGCCGACGTGGCAATCGACGGAGGCGCTGAAACACAGCAGCTCGATCGAACCACGGCAAAGCGGACAGGCGCTCCCGCCACATAGAGCATTCACGAGCCAGCAAAGCTGCAACCGCAAGAAGCTCGGACGGGAGTCACCCTCCTGGCGACGAACGAACCTGCCGCCCCGAGGCCACAGGATTTGAAAGCAAAACAAGTTGACAAAGCCGCCGAGGATCAAACACCACATCGCGGCTCCAACACTGTATGCAGCCAAGGCTGCACACTCACTCCGACTCTTGGTCGTCATCATCATCTTCGGGAATGTGGCCTAGCTCCACGGCCTCGAAATACTCGAGCCCGTGTGCCAGGAGAATACGTGAAGTGTCCAGGAGCCTCTGCTTCTTCATTGGGTTCTGATCGGAGCGGCTGCTCAACTCCAACTCCCACTTCTTGGTCACTCGAACCATGTTTCGTGCTGGCCCAGATGGCGATCTCGGGGATTCGAGCCTAACATGAGCTCGTATCGCCTGCGGATGCCTGAGATTCTCGAAGTGCCGTCGGTTCTCCACCTCGCGGCCACCTCCATGCGTGCCTTTGCACTTCTGAGCCAGCCCTCGATGATTCTTGGAATCAGAACAGAAATACTGACAGCACGAAGAACAGAACAAAATAACATGCGGCGAATCCACCATCGGATATTCCACTAGGCTGTGGCCTGCCACCTTCCATGGCTCCAGAAAACCACCGAGCTCGTCTTCAAGGATCAATTCCCAGAAAGGCTCATTGCCCACCATAGCGGGCAGGGAAGGCTGTACTGGGGCCTCCTGCTCCCCTTCTTCCTTCAGCGGGAAATGGTAGTCCAGGCCCTCAGCGTTTCAGTCGCACAGCCATGCTTGAAAACTCTCAAGGTACTGCAATATCATGTTGTGCAACTTCCTGCAGCCACGAACGAAATCCACATGCTCGTCATCTGGCATATTATGTGCAGCCCCTCGCTTCGCCAAAGCATCCGCTGTGGAGTTGCCCGTCAACTCGAAATCAGACAACGCACCTTCAATCACATCCGTCGGTGTTGCATGGCCCTTCACATGCTTGAACGCCTGCCGATGGAACTCCTCATTCTGCGCAATCATCTTCCACACATTGGCTCTTGGATTGCCTGCTCCCACTGCCAGGTTAGGAGAACGACAGTACGCCAGCGTGCCCTTGCAGTCTGAGAGCACAGTGCATGATCCAAGAACCTGCATGCTGACCATCAACATCGCATAATCCTCTCCACACTTTGCCACTTGTAGGGGGGCACAAGTCTTTCGGCACTGCACCGTAGTATCTGGCCACCCTCCTGCGCTCATGGTCGTATACTACAACTGACCATCAAGCGCTTCTCATATACGGTATGTCAGTGTAGAACCCACTTCCGTCAGTGAAAACAAAGCCTCCTTCAACATGGACAACTCCTTTGCGGTCCATGTCATAAAAGTGGTGTACTGGGTTCCTGCTCGGATAAGCGAACGCTTGAGCAGGGCCAGGAAGAAGGCCACGGCAGAACAGAGTCTGTAGGGCCTCATGGGGCCTGCTTCATACGCTTGACTGCACTGTGGAGCTCCTTCGGGAGCCTCTCCTGCCTGAAGTAGTGGTACGCGTCGCACTCAAAGAACCTATGATAGAACGTGCCTGGGCAGCCTTGGCACCTCAAGCATACCGCGGGCTCCTCGTTGAAGGACTTCGAGACCCTGTACTGGCACCAGTGGGCCCCCGAGCACAGGCCCCTGAGAGCACTTGTTTCCCTCGGCGGTAACTTACTGCGCTTTGAGTGTAAGACCTCGTTCAGGGGCATCCACGATAAAGGGCCTTGAGGGACTCGTGGGTCGCCACCAGCGAGCCTGTGGAGAGCTTCCCTATCGATGTGCCTCCGAACCCCGTGCTTGACCATCGAGCCCAGGAGGGCGGGCGGAGTGGTTCTGACGTCCCAAAGCTGCTCGTCGTCATCTCTGATGGTGTGGACGTCCTCCCAAGACCACCCAACCCTGTGGAGCGAGAGGAGAAGCGCGGCAATCGGGTTTTTGCACTTGGCCCAGCGCTGTGGATCCAGTAGCAGCGGCCTCGCTTCTTTGAGCAACCTGTCCACGACCGCCCATGCGACGGCCTGTGAATTCATGACGACAGCAAAAGTGTGGACAGCGTCCACCGTCGCAATAACCATTGGTCCTGCTGCCAGCCGCACTCTGCCGTCAGCAGTGAAAGACCCACAAATGCACCTGGCTTGCACTTGCCAACGTTCAAGTAAGACATGCGCAGGGACTGGATCCTCGAACTTGCCACACCATGGATACTGGAGCCCCACAGAGATTTGGCCAGGACCCCTGCCCGATGCACAGCTGATTTTTGACGACCCAGTCCCTGGAGAGCTTTGATACGCACGCCTCGCTGCATGGCCTCTGAGATCCTCGAAACCTAAGTGCTGATCCTCCTCATCCTTCCGTCAATGGCGTCTCCCCCTAGATCTCTATGAAAGGCGTCTCGTCCAGGGCAAGGCACATCTTCTGGCCAAAGATCTCACACGCTCGCTCTTACTTTGCGGAAAACTTCATCATCGCTGCACAACAGACCGCGCTTGTCCCAAGATCGGGAGCCTGCGGTCCTGCATGCCTCTTGACAGCATCGTTAGACCAATAATAGCCTGATCTGCAACCTGAGCGGGCCCTCCTATCACATGTAAGCTGGTATCATCACTCAGGCTCTTGATTCTGATGGGGTTACACTTAGCCCCTATGCTCCTGAGCGTTGTGACCATCATCAACTTAGGAAACCCTGTTGCGCATGAACAACCTGCAATAATGGACCCGTTCGCGTTAATGACCTCCGAAACCGGTTGCTGGTAAACGGCCCTCCTCGGGCCTCTGTACAAGGCGCACAAGGGCCTCAGAAGAGCCAGGGGGAAATCAATATCCCTGGCAGCACACAACAGCTCCTGGTGGCTGACCATTCTATAAAACTTGCGGAGGTCCACAAACGCGCTGAAACTGACAAAGCCTAACTGAGGAGCCACAGCCGCCAGGGTGTTGTGTATCCAGGCGGACTTGTCACTTGAGGTCTCACTAGAGGCTCCCCAGGAAAAAACCTATCGGGCAACTTAGATTCCCACTTGGAGACCTGCTTGTGTCTCAATCTGGACCATATTCTAGAAAACAAGGGCATCAGGCCTATGGGTCTGTCCCCCCCTTGTGGTTTGGGGAGAAAAACGAGGAGAGTGAGCCATATGTCGGTGAGCTCTGGTTCGGCTTCCCACCGATGTAGAATGAAGAGCAATGCCTCTATGAGAGGCTCAGGCAACTTTTCAATCCACCTCGGGTGAAAGGAATCCCAGCCTAGACCAGTGTTGGGCCTAAACGACCCAAGTGCTGCTCGCACCCCTGCCGGCTCAATCTCGGGAAGGGGAGTCGCGCCTGAAACATCCCAGGAGAAGGGGGCGGGGCTCCAGGTCCCTGGACGGAAGCTTCCAGGGCGAGACCCAAGTCCCCAGCATGGCCTTCAAGGCCTCATGGCCCACGACGGGCACCGAGTCAGCAAGCACTGGTTGGGAGTTGCCCTGAGGGCCCCGAGAATACTTATGCGCAAGGCTCCCTCCTTTCTGGAACGCGAGCTCTGAAACTTCCTTCCAAGACTGTCGCGCCGCCGACGCATCCTTGCTTGTCTGCTGCTGCGCACGACGCTGAAGCAAGTCACACACCTCAACACGAGAGCCGAGATCCTCGAGACGAGCAAGGAAGGCGGCATGCGAGCTTGGTGACACAGCCTCCTGCGTCGACAAAGCCTCCTCCTCCCCCGAACCCGTCCAAACGGCACCAACCTCCTCCATACGTGCAACAGCGCTGCTGATCGCAGCATTCCTATCTGGGGCCGTGGGGTCTTGCGCGCGGAGCCATTGCATCGTCACTCTGCGAAGCGTCAGCCACTTCTGAGTTAACGCACTGGCTTTTCTTCAGACACTTTTACCCCAAGCGCGAGACAAGGGCACTGTTTCCAGACGGCATCCAGCAGCACGTCCAGAATAACGGGGCCTTTCAAACTCGGGCAGCCCCGTGTACATGCACAGATACAGCTCAGCGGAAGAGAACCACCTGCGCGCAAGACTGCCCACGGACCCCCCCAGCAAACATTTCGAAACCTGGCCAGCCCGAGGTGTCTCCTGGAACGAATGGCTCCATCTTTTTTTTTTGGGGGGGGGGGCCTGAACGCCTCGGGCTGGAACCGCCTGTAAATGAAATTGTGGCTTCCTGCCCACGACATTCTGAGGACAACCGCTTTGTGGGGCCCCACGGGAGTGCCCTGCCGAAGGCATATTCTACGGACGAAGGGCACTAGCACATCACTCATCACGAAAAAGTCTACGCAGCTGTCATTACACGTGGGCTGTTCAACGCGCACAACCTCCGCGTGTAGCACGTTTAGGAAGCCGTGCCGAAGAAAACTGTCGGTCCCAAAAAACTCAGCTTCGATGTTCCAGCCACCAGCAATGCAGAAAGGCAGGCACGAGGCCCTATGGCCTCAATGAGAGCTCCCAGGAGCTCCACGTTGCCCTTTAGGCCCACTCCCACCTCTCCATAAACCGAAACGAAGAGAATCTGCATATCGCCGAATGCAGCGCGCTGAAACTTTAGCCTGCTCCTGGGGTGTGCACATGCTGGCAAATACTCTGCAACAGGAATGTGAGCACGCGTGCACAGCCCTACCACACAGGACGTCGACAAAGCCGAATTGCCAGTGATCGCGCACGGTGACGCCTCCAGCCGATAGCCTCGAGCACGAGCCCAAGCTTGACCGCGTCGGATCTGCTCACCTGCTGCGAGGCGGAGCTCCTGCAACGCGAAAATGTCCGCCTGTAGCAACTGGTCCAGCACGCACCACTCCATGAAACTCTGAGCCGTGGCCCAGGAATTGCAGTTGTAGCATACCACCGTGAACTCCGTGCTGACCCCGAACGATTGCATCGGCTGCTTATCACCAGCCACCTGAAGCTTGCTAAGCGCTGTGTAAGTTGAACTTCGACCGAGCAACTCCAAATCATGAGCAGGAAAGGGCTCATGTGGTACGCCTGGGCCAGGTGGAACAGAGTGTTGCCCTGCAAGTTGCCCAGCAGAGAGAGGCACCACATCGTTTGATGCCTCTTCTCCATTCAAATACTCGCACAGGTCCAGGCAGCTGTAGTCGGGGAACTGCAGGCCTCCGTAGGTTACTGGTCTTAAACGATTGTCTTCCACTTCGCTCCCTTTGACCGCATCCGAGGACACGAGGGGGCACTCAATAGTTAGGATTGTGTAGCCGCTTAGGCTTGAAGCCTCCTGCTGCCAAGAGACGAGCTTTGGCTCGAAGCTCCTCCTCGCCTTCACCCTCGTCAGCCAAGGTGCCGACATCCTTGCGCAGCAGCTCCACCTCGATCGTGTCGATGTCCCATGCTGCTGGGGGCGGCTCCGCTGGTTGACCTCCGCTTGCTGCCCCGCGGGCTCGCTTGTCGGGCGGCTCCTCCAGCAGCTCCGCCGCCCAGGATTTGAGCACCTCAGCCAGCTTCGGGGCCAGCTTACTGGCGTCCCCGGCGCCCTCCATCGCACCCAGCGCTGAAAGCACCTTGGCCTCGTCCAACTTGATCTCAGGGCCCGCGAGGTCCATAGCCTGATGCTGACCTGGCTCATCAGCTGGCTGCGAAGATGCCAGAGCACGCACCTCCTCCTCCAGCTGCAGGCAGACCTTCTGGCGCTCCAGGACCACCTGCGCAGCTGCTTTGGCCTCCTCCTGCGCCTTGAGCAGCTTCTGGTCCGCTGCCACTTTGTCCTGCTCCGCCTTCTGGTAGCGGATGCGGGCCTGCTCAGCTCGGCGCGACAAGGCCGTGAGCTTCGCGGGCAAGGGCTTATTCTCATACAGCTTGCGACGAGCTCCCTCCAGCTGCTCGCGAGCAGCCTTGAGAGGTAGCTCCGCCCAAGGGGAGCGGACCGACTCCAGCCACTGCACATGCTTGCTGAGACCGTCGATCTCATCACGTAGCTCTTCCGACTCATTGTGCTCCTCTGCCGCGTCGCCTCCGCCCGAGTCAGGCGAACCACGCAGCTTTGCATTCTCGGCCTCCAGCTGGTGCAGGCGCTTCTCCAACTTGGCATACGATGCAGCCGCTGCAAAAATGGTGCCGTCGGCCTTGCGCTTGGTCCTGCTGGGAGAGTCCGAGGGAACGACGCACTTGAATGCCACCCCCTTGTGCAGCTTGCACTTGTAGCACTTCTCATTGATCCCATTGCTGATGAGAGGAGCCCCAGTACGACGAAACGTGCAAAACTTGCACATCCAATCTTGCTTGGACTCCTGCTGCTGCTTACCACTCCATGTCCACGGCGCTGGCACCATGGCGACGTCTTTGCTGCGAGTTGGGCCGCCAGAGAGCCCCTGCGGTACTGGCTGAACGAAAAAGACTGTCGAGCGCAAGCGCTCTGGCACTGCCGCGGACTAGCGGTATCCGCTTGTTCCACTGGGGAACTCTAAGCCTTGAGCCAAAATGGCTACGGACGAGGAACAGGAGGAGGAGGAGGAGGAGGAGGAGGAGGAGGAGGAGGAGGAGGAGGAGGAGGAGCCAGACGCCCGCCAATGCGACGCAGCTGCGCCACTCCGCGCGCGAGGCCCCCCCCCGCGCGCGCGGAGCGCACGTCGCGCAGCGAGGCGCCGCCCCCCCGTTCGCAGAGCAGAGCCACATCCAGCCCTCTCCTCCTCCTCCTCTTCCTCCTCCTGCCTCCTCCTCCTCCTCCTCCCTCCTCCCTCCCTCTCCCCCTCCTCCTCCTCCACCTCCTCCTCCTCCTCCTCCTCCACCTTCTCCTCCTCCTCCTCCTCCCTCCTCCTCCTCCTCCCTCCTCCTCTCCCCTCTCCTCCTCCTCCTCTCCCTCCTCCTCCCCCTTCTGCTCCTCCTCCTACTCCTCCTGCTCCTGCTCCTGCGCTTGCTCCTCCTCGTCCTCCTCCTCCTCCTCCTCCTCCTCCTCCTCCTCCTCCTCCATTTCTTTACCGTATACAGAATTCCACCCTGTCGCGCCCCCAGGCCAGTCGAAAGGGCGGGCCAGGCGTTTCGCCTGAGACTTCCTCAAAGTTACGACCCTAATATATATATATATATATATATATATATATACATGACACCGGAGAAAAAACAATCATAATATTTCAAGGGCTTTAGGGCTATGGGGCTATAAGGCTATAGGGCTAGAAGGCTATGGGGCTATAGGGCTACAGGGCCATAGGGCTATAGGGCTATTGGGCTATAGGGTGGGCTATAGGGCTATAAGGCTATAGGGCTATAGGGCTATCAGGGCTATCAGGGCTATAGGGCTATAGGGCTATATATAGAGCTACCGGGCACCTGGGCACCCGGGCACCTAGGCACCCAGGCACCCAGGCACACGGGCAACTGGGCACCCGGGCACCCGGGCACCCGGGCACCCAGGCACGCGGGCACCCAGGCACCCAAGCACCCGGGCACCTGGGCACCCCCGGGCACCCGGGCACCCGGGCGTGCAACGACAATTGGCGGCAAACCTAACCTAACCATATGAATCCGCTAGGACCCTACAGAGGCAAGCTCTGATTGGGGAATGTTTCAAATATCGAAACGAACTTCACAGATGGAGGGCGGGTGGTTTTCAAAATGTAGCTCTCGCCTTAGCGCCGCGTACATTCGTTTTGAACATGTGCAAGTTTTGGAGATTGAGGGCGGGTGGCTTTAAGAATGTGGTTTTCGCCTTAGCGCCGCGCATGGTAGTTTTTCGTTCGAAAGTTGCCAGAGCTTCACTGATTGATGGTGGGTCGTTTTCAAAATGTGGCTCTCGCCTGAGCGCCGCGCACATTCGTTTGAACAAGTTGCCAGAGCTTCACGGATTGAGGGCAGATGGTTTTGAACATGTGGCGCTCACCTTGGCGCCGCGCGCATTCGTTTTAAAGCATATGCAAGAGCTTCGGGGATTGAGGGAGGGTGATTTTCAAAATGTGGTTCTCGCATTTGCGCCGCGCACATTCTCTTCAAGAGACTGCAAGAGCTTCACGCATTCACGGCGGTTGGTTCTGAGCATGGGGCGCTCGCCTTAGCGCCGCGCGCATTCGCTTCAAAACATGTTCCCCAATCAGAGCTTGCCTCTGTAGGGGGTCCTGGCGGATTCACATGGTTAGGTGAGGCATGGCGCCGATTTCGGCGGCACGTCCAGGTACCTGGGCACCCGCGGGTGCCCAGGTGCCCTATAGCCCTGTAGCCTTACAACGTTATAGTCCTGTAGCCCTATAGCCCAATAGCCCTATAGCCCTAATGGCCTTGTAGCCCTATAGCCCAATAGCCTTGTAGCCATATAGCCCAATAGCCTTGTAGCCCTATAACCATATAGCCTTATAGCCCTGTAACCATATAGCCCTAAACGCCGTAATAGCCCGATAGCCCTACAGCCCTACAGCCCTATAGCCCTATAGCCCCATAGCCCTAAAACGATTATGGTTGGGGCTTTTCTCCGGTAGCTTGCAAGAGTTTCACGGATTCAGGGCGGGTGGTTTTCAAATAGTGGTTCTCGCATTTGCGCCGCGCAAATTAGTTTTGAACAGTTGCAAGAGTTTCGCAGATGAGAGCGGTTCCTTTCCAAACTGTGCCTCGCGCCTCAGCGCCGCGCGTATATGCTTTGAACGTTGGCAAGTGTTACGCTGGTTCTCGTGGTTAACGCACCAGAAACAAACAGTGTGTTCGAGCGATTCTGGACTGTCAGGGCGCAACAGTTACGTCGATTCGCGGTGCTGAAGTCCCAGGAATGGCGTTCTGGCGCGATCCAGGATCGCCAAGACGTAACAGTCAGGGTCGCTCGTGGCCTTGAAGTCCTGAGAACGGTGTCTTGGTGCGCTGAAAGCTGTTCACACGGTTGTCCCCCAACGGTGCAATTCCTTCAGTGGAAATGACCTCTTCTTATGGGGCCTGTAAAGAAGGATCTTGGAGGGAGGGTGTACTTCAATATCGTTTGAGTCTTGGGTTTGCACTGACCCTCCTCCTCCTTCTCCTCCTCCTCGTCCTCCTCTTCCTCCTCCTCCCCCTCCTCCTCCTCCTCCTCCTCCTCCTCCTCCTCACTCCTCCTGCTTCTCCTTCTCCAGCTCCTCTATCGCAAGCATCGTCAGCCGTCGCCGACGCTCGGGGAGCTCCTGCCGTGCCGGCCCGAGGCGCCGGCAGCGCGCCCATGCGATGCGCACCCACGCCGCGCGGCGCGCAGGGGAGCCCAGGCCCCCCTGGCGGCTGGGAGGCCGCGTGGCGGGCGGCACGTGCCGCGGCTGCTTCTGCGCTCCTGCTGGTTCCCTCTGACGCGCCTGCTGCTGAGCCTGCTGTCGCCGTCAGCTCCTCCTAACTCCTCCTCCTGGCCCTGTCCTCCTCCTCCTCGCCCTCCTGCTCCCCCTCTTCCTCCTCCTCGCCCCTCCTCCTCCATCCTTTCCCCTTTATAGATAACACCTCCTGGTCGCAATCTCAAACGTGTCGGTAAAGGGGGCCAGGCGTGTTGCACCTGTTCACAGCTCAGGACGGGAGGTGGGTTTTCAAAATGCGGCTCTCGCCGACGCGCACATTAGATTCAAAAGCTTGCAGCAGCTTCACGGATGGAGCATTTTTCAACATGGGGCTCTCGCCTTGACGCCACAAGCATTCATCTTAAAGTTTGCAGCAGTTTAACGAGTTCAGGGCGATTATGCTTCAACATGTGGCCATCGCGTTGGCGCCGCGCGTATTCGGTTCTTTCAAGTTTGCAGCAGTTCCACGGATGGAGCATATGCCGTTTTGAAAATGGAGCTCTCGCCCTAGCGCCGCGCGCATTCGTCTTAGGACTCTGCAGCAGCAGCGCCAAGGATGGAAAGGGAGTAGCTTTCAAAATCGTGTTCTCACCGTAGTGCCGCGCACACTCGTCTGAAACATGTGCGAGAATTTCACGCGAACTGAAGGGGGCGTGTTCAAAGCGTGGCTCTCGTATTAGCGCCACGGGCATTCGTCCTAAAAGCATTTCAAGCATGGACAGATGTGGTTTTCAAAATGATGCTCTCGCCTTTACGAAGCGCACACGGCTTGTCAACGCATGCGCTGGCTTCACAGATGGAGGGCGGTTCCTTTTTCAAAGGGGGGCGATCACATAGCGCCGCGAGCATTCGTCTCCAATGCCTGCGACAGTTCTAACGACTGAGCACCGGTCGTTTTCAACATGCGGCTCCCGCCTCAGCGCCGCGCGCATTCGTTCTAGAATGCAACGTGCAAAAGGATAGAGGGCTACTGTTCCCGACGACGAATTACCGCCGGGCGACTTACAGACCCAGACCTTCAACGCATGCGGCGCTGCATGGATCCGTGGTGGATCTGTGTCAAACTGGAGTTGTCGCTGAAGATCTCCCAGAAATCTCGCCATCGCTCGGACGTCCATTCCCTGTCTTTTTTTGGGTTCCGTGCGTGGGGCTCTTTCGCCAAATGATCAAGGATGCTCATCGATGGTCCTCGCCGAAGGCAAGATGCACACGTCCGAGCGATGCCGAGGACATTCGTGACCACAGACGCAAAAACCTGCGCAGCCGCTGCACGGATGGGGGGCGGCCCTGCTTCGGAAGGGTGGGGGGTCGCCAGACACCGCGTCCTGTATCATCGTTGCGTCGGGCGTTCCTGACCACGCGCCGCCAGAATGCGAGGCAGTGTCTTTTCGAAACGGCGTCCTCGCCAAAATGGCAGGCCCAACGTTGCTGGCTCTTCAGGGGGGTGCTTCTCGTAGCGAGCGGGAAGGATTTCAGGGTCGTGCGAGGGGACTTGGGACAGGAGTGCGTGTGTGTGTGTGTGCATTTTTGGTTCACTCTGGTTCTCCTCCTCCTCCGAATCCGCCACTTCCTCCTCCTCCTCCTCCTACTCCTCCTACTCCTCCTCCTGCTCCTCCTGCTCCTCCTTCTCCTCCACCCCTTTTTCCTTACAAACAAATCCTCCCCGTCGCACCACGAGGCCATGCCGAAGGACGGGCCGGGCGTTTCGCCTGAGACTTCCTTGCCATCGATGAGCTTGAAGCTTAAAAACTGGCAACAGCTTCACAGATGGAGGGCGGGTGGCTCTCAAAATGTGGCCCTCGCATTAGCGCCGTGCACATCCGTTTGAACAAATAGCAAGGCCTTCACGGAATGAGGGCGGGCCGTTTTCAAAATGTGGCTCTCGCCATGGCGCCGCGCAAACTATTTCAACACATTTGCAACAGCTTGACGGAATGACAGCGGATCGTTTTCAAAATGTGGCTCTCGCATTTGCGCCGCACGCATTCGCTTTAAACAGTTGCAAGAGTTTGACGGATTGAGGGCGGTTGGTTTCGAACATGTGGCTCTCGCCTTAGCGCCGC